GCGCGCACGCACCGGCGCTCAGGCGAGGCGAGTGCGCGGCCGGGGCTGCAACTGGCGCTGGCGACGCTTGCGCTGGCCGTTGACGAGCTTCTGCGCGATCTTGCGCTCGTGGCCGCCGGGCACCGGCCGGTTGGTGCGCCGTTCCCGCTCGCGCCGCGTCCGGCCCTTGCTGCGCCCGGCCCCGGAGGCCGGGAAGTCGCGCAGGTAGTAGTAATCCAGGCAGTCGTAGAGCTCCTCCTCGGAGTTGACGGCCGGCCACGCCTCAGGTGGCGGCGGCTTGGCCTGAGCCTGGGCGCTGGGACCCGCAGGGTCCATCGCGCCGGGCCGCCCGCCCGCGCGTGCGCGCGCTGCCGAAGGAAAGCGCCCCGCGTTTCGATTGGCTCCGCCGGCGGGGGCGGGACCTATGGTCGACGTCACAGAGCCGGATGGTGCCCCGCGTGAGGCCCCTGCTCTCCAGGCCCGGGAACCGTGACCCCTTTGGCCGCCGGGGCTTGTGCGCCACTAATGCGAGAGGGACGTTTGGCAGAATCCGATCGAGCACTTTGTTTATGTCGCTCAAAAATGGAAAACTATCCAAGTGTCAACAGTGAGGGACTGCTTAAAATGCGGGGCTGTGCATTCCTCCGGAGGACTTTTATCAGCAAAATCATTTTGTTAGGCTGTTTAATGACGTGAGTATGTAAAGTGAAAAATTAGCTTCTGAAGACATATCTCGGGTATCCCAGTAACGTATTTTTAACACATCTGTCTATATAAAAAACTGAAAAGAAATTCATCAAAATGGTAAAAGTATTTCTGGCTGGTAGGGCCATACATACATTAGTTCTTTTTCCTTTCCACAATCCATGTTTTTTATGAGGAGTGTGAATTAATTGTATTAGCGAGCAATTCAAAAGGAAAAGGCACCCTGCCTGCTGCAAGACCCGGAACCGCGCGCAATTTCGGATTATCCGCGGGTGCCCAAGTCCTCGAGTCGGGAGACGTTAAGCGCAATAACTTCATGCGCCGGCAGTTTGGGGCGACGGCCAAGAGTTGGGAGTGGCCGCGCCGAAGGGTGAGACGATCGACCAGCGCAAGCCAAGCGTCCCGCCCGCCGGTGCCGGCTGCGCCCGGCCCCTGGGCGTGGGGGGCAGGCTGCTCGACGAGGCGGCGGAGGCGCGAGGAGTCCGGCCGAGTGAACCGCGCTCAGAAAAGGCGGTCTACCTTCTCCCCGAGGGCGGCGCCACCGCGGAGCGGGAGTATTTACCCCCCGCGGCAGCCCAGGCTCTGCGGCGACTCCCAGGTCTAATTACCTAATTACCGCCTCCCTAGACGCTCTCAGGGAGCTATTGCGAAGAAGGCCTTTGTTTTGGTTTGGTTTAACTAGCACAGATAATTCTCTTCCCAGGAAAATTGCAGCTACTCCCTCGGGTATTTTCTTTTTAATGATCAAAATAATTCCCTATTTTAAAAAAACAAGAGGCCTTCTCAGATATTTGATCTTGCTTAGTTTCCGTCTGGGACCAGGTTGCCGATTTGAGTTATTTCTTCAGCGCTCGGAAGCTGTATCCCTGGTGGGGCGAGGCCTACATACCACGCTCTGAGGGCAATTTTGGTGGTTCCTTAAATGGACAAGTCCCAGGAGAGTGTTTTTAATAAAACACTGAGGGGATTTTCTCTTCCACTCGCATGTCTTACATCTGCTGTTGGGAAAGAGAAACTAGTATTTATCCCTATACCACTCTCCCATGCATTAACTCTTTTTAAAAAATCGCTTTAGGGGCCAGCCCCTGGTGTGGTGGTTAAATTCAGGACACTTCACTTTCGCAGCCCAGGTTCTGATCCTGGGCCTGGACCTACACCACTCGGTCAGCCATGCAGTGGCAGTGACCCACATACAAAATAGAGGAAGATTGGCACAGATGGTAGCTCAGGGCTAATCTTCCTCAAGCGAAAAAAAAAAGCGGGGTGTGGGGGGGAGATTGGCAACAGATGTTAGCACAGGGTGAATCTTCCAGAAAAAAAAAATCTCTTTAGAGTTTGTCTTTATGAAAATATTCAGACATTCTCAGAAGTGAAAATAACAGAACAATGAACTCCCAAGTCCCATCCTCCGATTCACTAATTATCAAGATCCTGTCACATTTGCTTTATGTATCCCTGTTTCCTTTACTGCAGCGTTTTAGATCAAATCACAGACCTTATGTCATTTTATCCCTATGTATCTCAAAATACAGCTCTAAAAAACTAGACATTTCTTATATAACCACAATGCCCAGATAAAAGCTGAAGGGGGAGGTCATTACCTCTAGATCTATCCTACAAGAAATGCTTCAGATTGAAATGAAAGGATGCTAGACAGTAGCTTGAAGCCATATGAAGATATAAAGATCTCTGTTAAAGGTAAATGCATGGCCAAACCAGTATTGTTATAATTTTGGTTTATAACCCCACTTTTTATTTTCTTCAGGATTTAAGAGACAAATGCATGAGAATAATTATAAATCTATGTTAATGGGTACACAACACATAAAGATATAATTTGTGATATCGGTAACAAAGTGTGGGGGAGGGGACTGAGCTGTATAGGAGTGTTTTTTTGTGTGTGATTGAAGTCAAGTTGGTATCAATTCAAAATAGATTGTCAGGATGTTATATGCAATCCCCATGGTAACCACAAGGAAATAACTACAAGAAAATATCTATAGAACACACACAAAGGAAAGGAGAAGGGTATCGGAAGTATCATTCAAAAAAATCAACTGAACATAAAGGAAAGCAGTAATAAAGGAGACGAGGGACAAAAAAACTATAAGATATACAGAAAACAAATAACAAATAGCAAAAGTAAGTCCTTCCTTTCAGTAATTACTTTAAACATGAATGGATAAAACTCCCCAATCAAAAGGCATAGATTGGCAGAATGGATTTTTAAAAATGATTCAATTGTATCCTGTCTACAAGAGACTCATTTTAGATATAAGGACACAAATAGGTTGAAAATGAAAGGATGGAAAAAGAGATTCCATGTAAATGGTAACCAGAAGAGAGCTAGGGTGACTATACTAATATGAGACAAGATAGACTTTAAGTCAATAACAGTTGCAAGAGACAAAGAAGGACATTATATTGATAAAAGGGTCAATTCATCAAGAAGATATAATAATTATATGTAGCAAATACCAGAGATCCAAAGAATACAAAGCAAACATATGATAGAATTAAACAGCTCTACAATAATAGTCGGAGGCATCAATACCCCACTATGGGTATTGATGGATAGAACAACCAGTCAGAAGATCAGTAAGAAAGTAGAAGACTTGAACAACACTGTAAACTGATTGAACCTAACAGCGTGTATAGAACACTTGAACCAACAACAGCATAATACACATTTTTCTCAAGTGCACATGGAACTTTCTCCAGGATAACCATATGTTAGGCCACAAAATAAGTCTTAATAAATTTAGAGATATTGAAATCAAACATAGTATCTTTTCTGATTACAGTGGAATAAAACTAGAAATCAATAACAGAAGGAAGACTGGAAAATCCACAAATATGTGGAAGTTAACTTACACACTCTTAAACAAATAATGGATCAAAGAAGAAATCACAAGAGAAATTAGAAAACACCTTGAGAAAAGCGAAAACATAAAGACAATATGCCAAAACTTATGAGATGCAGCAAAAGCAGTGTTAAGAGGGGAATTTATAGCTGTAAATTGTTTACGTTAAAAAAAGATCTCAAATCAACAACCTAACTTTACACTTTAAGGAACTAGAAAAGGAAAAGCAAACTAACCCCAAAGCTAGCAGAAGGAAGGAAATATTAGAGATTAGAGTGGAGATAAATAAAAAAGAGAAATAGAAAAACAATTGGAAAAATAAAACCAGAAGTTTGTTCTTGGGAAAACATCAACAAAGTTAAGAAATATTTAGTTAAATTGACTACGAAAAGAAGAGAGGATTCAAACTACTAAAATCAGAAATTAAAATGGGGACATTACTACCAATCTTACAGAAATTAAAAAGATTATAAGAGAGTGCTATGAACAATTTTACACCACCAAATTGGGTAACCTAGATGAAACAGAAAAAATCGCTAGAAATACATGCCAACCAAGACTGAATCATGAAGAAATAAAAAGCTGAATAGATTTATAACTAGTAAGGAGAATGAATCAGTAATCAAACTCCTCCCATCAAAGAAAAGCCCTTGACCAGATGGCTTCACTAGTGAATTCTATTAACCATTTAGGAAGAATCAACACCAATCCTTCTCAAACTCTTCCAAAAAACTGAAGAGGAAGGAATACATTTTAATTCATTCTATGAAGTCAGCATTACCCTCATACCAAAGAAAAAGGCACTGCAAGAAAAGAAAACTCCAGACCGATATCCCTTATGAACATTGATGCAAAAATCCTCAGCAGAATACTGGCAAATGAAATTTAGTAGCATATTAACAGGATTATACACCAAGACGAAGTGGGATTTATTCTCAGAATGCAAGAATGGTTCAACATAAGAAAATCAATAAACTCCAGTTATAAAATAAATAAGTTATGGGGATATAATGTACAGCATGGTGACTATAGTTAATAATACCGTGTTGCATACTCGCAAGTTGCTAAGATAGTAGATCTAAAAGTTCTCATCACAAGAAAAAAATTTTTTGTAATCGTGTATGGTGATGGATATTAATTAGACTTATTGTGGTGATCATTGCATTAGTATAAAATATCGAATCATTATGTTATACACCTGAAACTAATATAATGTTATATGTCAATTATACTTTAATAAAAGAAAACATGAGAAAAGCAATCAATTTAATGCACCACATTAACAGAATGGAGGGAAATAAGCCACATGATCATCTCAACTGATGCAGAAAAAGTGTTTGACAAGATTCACCACCCTTTCATGATAAAACACTCAACAAAGTAGGAATGGAAGGAAACTTCATCAACATAATAAAGGCCATAGGTGAAAAGCACACAGCTAATATCAATAATATCATACTCAATGGTAAAAGACCAAAACCTTCCCCCTAAGATCACCAACAAGACAAGCATGCCTCTTTTCACCACTTCTATTTAATAAAAAATTGGAAGTTCTAGCCAGGGCAATTAGTCAAGAAAAAGAAATAAAAGGCATATATATTGGAAAGGAAGAAGTAAAATTATCCCTGCTTACAGATGACATGATCCTATATGTAGAAAAGCCTGAAGATTCCACATATACACAAAAAACTGTTTAATAAGCAAATTCAGCAAAGTTACAGAATACAAAATCAATATTGAAAAATCAGTTGCATTCCTATATACAAACAATGAACAATCTGAAAAGAAAATTAAGAAAATTACCTTTACAATAGCATCAAAAATAATAAAATACTTA